CAGGGCCGGCCGACCCTAATGGAAACAAGAAATTGCCGCAAACAGGGTTAACCACGCCCCAGAGCGCGTCGAGTGATTTTCGCCCTTTCTCTCCTCCCTGTCCATCCATACTCGCTAAACACTGCACGCGCGTATATACACATACGCGCCACTGCTGTACGGGGGGCTAGGGGGGTGATCTACTCATTGTCACCACCAATGCTGTTGCCGGTCAATGGTAGCTGATGCATGCGATTCCGGTCGATCGGTTTTACGCGGACGGCGACGCGTTGGCTAATGAGTTGCATACAAGCTGCACGGACTCCGGGTAACTTTGTTTCGGCTATGGGCTTGTCCAACAGGGGGAAAAAGGCAAGTGTTTAACGTACGGAAATTCTTCTTTTTCTTTTTCCCATAAGTGCATTTGTTTACCTCATCGTTTTTATGACAACGACATACGAAAAAGTAAAATAATAGTCCTCTGATGGTCGCGCCTCTGGAGGATGTTTCGTTTCAGCGAGCAAAAAGCAATGTGCAGCAAAGTCCGGATGCAGCTTGTGCAGTAAATGCCCAACAATGATAGCCTTCTGAAATTACCTGTCGTATAGTCGCGTACCCGCACCCTCTTTGCCCGCGGTACAATGATGAAGGGGGAAAAAAAGGCCCGCAAACAAGAAGCCGGTACACGGCTAAAAACGTCCTCATTGCGCGCCGATTGTTCGAAAGGCGGGGTAAGGAAACTGCGCGCCGGCTAGTGAGAGGCTCCGTAATCGACTTAGCCCGTGTTGTAGCGTCCTTGCAAATCCGTGAGCGAAAATTCCCTCGCTCCTCCGCGTCTCCCTCCTCGTCGTCTTTTTACCATGAAAATGGCCAATTACGCGACTAACAAACTACAAGCGCGAGCGCGCACCGACAAAATGTACAAACACGTAACTCGGTTAGCCGAGCTGCTGCTGAAGGACATTAGTTAGGCCATGCGCCGAAAGTATTTTGCGTCTGATTACCGTTTCTTGCGCCAACTACGGCTGGTTAATCTCGTTACGATATCGCTCGGGCAAAGGAGCCAAAGATTGCCCTGGGAGTTCTCCTTCGGCCTCGCGGGCTTCTTGACTTACTTTTTCATGCAGAGTACCAGGGGAATGGCTTCGACGAGGAACAACTCAATATGGCACTGTATAAGATCAAAGAAAGTTTTTGCACAACCCGAAGCTTGTATTATTTACTACATGCCATTTATGAGCAAGATTTGCATTCAAGATATACATACTTGCTGTTTTATGTTTAAGAAATCGATGTTTTACGTTTTTTACTAGTGTGCTAATTTTACGTGTACGTTTGTTACATATTTTTTTCTTTCTTAAATAGATATTGCAACTCTCGAGACTTGATTTGGTTAATACAGGGTGCCATGACTGCGAACAAAACTAAAAAATTTTATACAGCACCCTCGTAATTGATATTTGGAAGAATAATCGGTGATGACACAGTGAAATCTAAAAATAAAGATATAATTTTCAAATGTTTTTTTTATTACTTATTGAAATTTCGTTGAAATTGCTCTGCTATTTTTTTATAATAATATCTTTGCAAAAAGTTAAAAATTAATTTTTAATTTGAATCTAAAATGAAATTGAAATTATACTTCATTAGCTTTATTGGCGTAACTTTTGTTGTAAAAAAATATACAACACAAAATAAACTATTATACTGATAACACGTATCATGAGTACTACTCTAATGGATCTAAGAAATCTTCTTCTCACAGCAAACGATTGAAATGATCGATTTTAATTAAAAAGAAAAAAAATGTTTCAACAAATGTTACAGTCACAAAAATTAGTTTTGCTTGTAAACAAAAGAAAAAAAAAAAAACAAAGGAATTATTCCATTAAATGAGAGCTATTTTTCACATATCAGGCAAATGACATCAAGGAGAAACGATAAACCAATGTACTTGAAATTCCGTCTTTTATTTATTTTTTTTTCCCCTTGGACATTTGTATACAATTAAACGATGTATTGTCGTATACAAATACATGCATATACGTACATTCAAACTTATCGCGAAAAAAACAAAAGAATATCAGAAAAACTATGAATTTCGTGCAGGTGTTTAAGAACTTTTTCCTTCATATTATGCGCAACGTGGTGATACCACGAGAATTGATAACAATAATTGCCGGTAATTAATTGTCAGTATGCGACGTTTTTGCGCTATACTGACTCAGTCAACTTGAGACTTCGTTTTTAGTTGTTGTGTGGCGTTAAAATAAAAAGAATCAACTTACTGGCTATTTGCCTCTGTTACCATCAATTTAACAGATGAGTTTTTGGCCAAATTTTAAAGTTTGACGATCCAAAGTGTGTACAATACTATTTTTAACAACTATTATTTCAAAGACACAAAAATGGTAGTTGGAGAAATAATCGGACAGTTTTTACCGCCACCGTTGAATATCCTTTGGAACTTTGTGCTGTTACCGCTATTAAACAGTGGTTTCATAAACAACCTCTTAGCATCGGTAAGATTAATATTAAACATATCGAAAACGACGTCCTTCATTATTTAATCTAAGCTTTATCGGCTGAGTATAATTTTTTTATTACCATTAATGAAAAAAAAAAAAGAGATTTCGATAAAATTTTTTTTATTACAATTGTTTAAATGCCAACAACGTATGTCTTCTCTTTCTTTTTATACGTTTACAAATACTTATTAAATTCCATCTTAAGAGTAAATTGTCTACGTTGCACACGTTCTTATTAAAAAAATTCACGTATCGTTTATTCATTAATTTACCGTGACGTTTAAATAAAATAAAGTTCTGTCTATTTTAAACTCCAGTTTTAATAATAATAATAATGATGCCGATTTTCAAGCTCATGAATACCGGCACGTGGAATTTGTAATTTGAAATTTTTCAGTTAGGAGATTCCGTGAAGGGATTGCTGAAGGACTTGCTCGGAACTCTATTACCGTCGTCGCCCACGACAAACGCCCTGACCTAATGGAAACTATATTTGCTCGTCGTCGGATGGATTCGCCATGTAAATACATAATATCTGCAAGGAAGGATTAATTGAATTTATTTATTTGTATCATATACCGCCGCAAAAGAAATATTAATCGTTGTTTGGGATAGACAATAAACGCACACGTCATGATATTATACACCTGAAATCAACGTTGTTCGACTATAATTATAATGTGTAAGCAATGCACAATTAAAAATAGAAGAAAAAAAAAAAAAAAAAAAAAAAAAAAAAAAAAAAAAAAAAAAAAAAAAAAAAAAA